AATAACCCCATTTCCCCTTCAAATAACTGAAGTCAGCTATCACTTCCCTAGTCCTTTCACTCTTCCTCAGATGGACTGATCTTGAGGTCTCTGACCACCCTAGAGTCCTTCCTCTGCTCTCCTTACCTTTTCAGGGTCTTTCTTCCTAAAACATGGCACCAGGGATTGAACACAATGATCCAGATATGGTCTCAGCTGGGCAGAAGACAGCAAGAACAAGGGTGACCTGAAGAGCCCTAGACACCAGGCCTCTCAACACGGTCTAAGATCTTCTTGGATTTTTTGGCTGTTATTACTTGCTGTTGAATCGTATTAAGCTCAAAGTGCCACAGCACCCCTTCTATTTTCTAAGACCTAAATATCACCAACAGAGTGGCTCAGCAATCACCCCCAAGTTCTTCCAGACTCTAGACAATTATTTATCCAAGTCCTGGTGACCTGAACCTGGTGAAGGCAGAATAGATACTCTGACCACCCTCTTAAGGTATCTAGGGTTCCCACTTCCTCATAACCATTTTTTGGACATAACTACATAGGACAAAGGATATTCTTCTTAGAAGAGAAAATGGGAAATAGTTGACTTCTTCAACTTTCTCCATGTCATTCATTATCATTATCTTTGTGGTCCTATGTTCATCTTCTGATCCTTTTAACCTCAACACAGCTAAAATTAATGAAAAAATAAACAAGCCCTTTTTTGGATGTGCTTAGCATTCATCACTATTTTTCAGGTCATTCTGGAGCTTGGAACTCTTGATACTATCCTTTCAGGACTGTGCAACTAAGAGGCAGGGAGGTGTACTGGGTAGAGCCTGCCTCAGACATGAAGATCCACACTCAAGTTCTGCCATTGGCTAGGTAACTAATTTGCTATAATACAAAGGTTCCAGTGCTTAAAGGCTTACCCATAACTTTTCTTGATGGGTAATACGAGCATTACCTTCATTTTACAGATGAGCAAACTGAGGCCTGAGAGAGGCAGAAATTTGTCCAAAGTCCTACAGCCAAGTGGCAGAGCCAGGAATCAAATAAACCCATCACCCGACTTCAAGTCCAGTGCTCCCCAAAGTCTCCATGTCTAGGGCCATGTCATCTTCCCTCTGCTTCCCAACAAACTACAAGTAAACTCCTTCCTTTCCTCTCCCTCCTCGGCAGGGCCCCTTATCCAGTTACACACATTAAAACATTTGGTGTCTGTTCAGCCTTAATCAAGACTGGTATTTCAGCTCTGGCCAGAGACAGATGATGGCCCATCCAAAATTGCTACTCTATTTTACAAGGTCTCAAAAGCAGAACAAAATTACACACCATCTGCACAAGAACTGACCACCTGCAATCTGACTGCAGGACCACGGAGAGGTTAAAAAATTACCCTCTCTCTGTCCACATTTCTATGTTCTGTGTTGAAGACTAGAGTGCATCTGTCATCCCACACACACTGAAAATAAAAAACCCGCTGAACCCTATCTTGCTAATGTTGCCAGAATTGTCAGTGAAGGCTGAAAGGATCTGTCTCACGTCGGGTTAGGGAGCCTGGCCATTGGTTACATGCTCTCCTGAAGAGCAAGCAGCATTTGATCCTGGAAGGCTTTGTTTCATCATGAATATGGCTTGTTAAACATCACCTCCAAACAGAAATGGGTTTTGTTTCTCTAAAATGCAAGCCTCAACTTTGGAGTCAGTGGCTAGGCTGGCCAGATAGAATACGGGGCCTTCCAGATCAATGTTGTCAAATTCAAAGAGACCACATATTATGAACCTTGTGAGTGACACAGTGACTTGGTTTTAAAATGTACTGTCTCAATTTTATTGCATTTTTATTTATTTTGTTAAATATTTCTCAATTACATTTTAAACTGGTTCTGGCCACACTTGGGAGTGCCCACAGGCCGTGTTTTGTATCACCATTCTGGACTATATAGACAGACTGTTACAGCCAGTGCAAGCAAAAGGCTCCCATTGGATAACCAACCCCAATTGCGGTTAAGATCTGGGCTTGAATAATTAACAGTTGTGTGCCTCTAGGAAAGTCATTTCATCTAAGCCTCAATTTCCTCATCTATAAAATGGGGATAATAATAGCACCTAACTCACAGTTGTGATGAGGGTCAAATAACAGACAATGCATATGAAATACTTAGCAAACCTCAAAGTACTTTATAAATATGAGTTATCATTACCCGCATGGCCCTTTTCACTTTGTCAAGTTTTTTTTTTCTTCCTTTTTTTGATTCTCCTAAGGGAAGGTAATACTGTTTCCATTTTACAAATGGGGCTCATTTACAAATGAGGACACTGAGGCCCAGAGGAGAATTTACTTAGTCACATAACTGATTCCTCATATTATACATGAAATATGTCATTGTAAAGGCAGGAAAAATTAAGAACAAAATTGGGATAGGTGGCCATGGTGTGTTGGAAAGAACATTGGACTTGGAGTAAGAACTAGATGTGAATCCCAGTGCCTACAGTACTTTGTACTGAAGCAAGTAAGTTCCAGGAATCCCGGGCAAAACGAAAGTGTATAGCCTAAGAGACCCCACAGGATTCAGAATTGGCCACGGTACGGCAGAGGTGTGGAAGAAAAGATTCACACTTACTCCCTAAGTGTGAGGGATTCAACAATTCAACAATTTTTATTAAGTGCCTATGATGTGCCAGGCACTGGGCCAGGCACTCTGGATACAAAGACAAAAACCAAACAGTCCCTGCCCTCAAGGAGCTTACATTCTATTGGGGAGATACAACATGTACAAGGGTAAGTAAATACAAAGTAATTTCAGGAGGCAGAGGGAACTAACACCTGGGGATGGGGAAAGACTTGCCAAAGGAGGCGGCACCTGAGCTGAGCCTTTCTAGAGCTCGGGGGCAGGAGGGTGTGCATTCCAGGTGTGGGGGACAACCCGGCAAAGGCACCAAGACAGAAGATGGAATGCCTCGTTCTGCTCAGCTCAGGAAAGAGCCAGCAGGCCAACATGGAGCATGTACAAGGGGGAAGAGGAAGCAACGGCACAAGTGAGATGATCCTGTCTGTCTGTCTTCTCCTCATAAATACCACTTCTGTTCTCTGTGTCCTACATGACCTTGGGCAAAGTCTCTTTGAGCACCAGACCAGTGCCCTGCTCGCCCCGCCCCCATCTACAGATGAAGGGCTCCACACCTAGAATGCTGGATGCTGGCTGACAGAGGGAGGAGGCGGCCATGCGTGTATGGAGATCTTGGCTGGGATGCTGGCTTTGCTACTTACTACCTGCCCCACTGAATGAGTCACTGAACCCAGGGGCCTCAGGCTAATGAGACAGTTGGCCTAGAAATCTCTAGGGCTTCTTCCAGGGGTTGATCCTATGGTCCAAGTCATCACTACATGCCTTTAAGTACTGGGTCAATCTTTCCAGCTGAAGACACATTTCCTATACGTCCATGCTGCGTACACTCAGTTGGATGGGCCTTATGCTCTTTGCCAAATTGTCTGTCTCCTTCAGAGAGAAGCACACCACCATTAAAAAGGCGCTATATTATCAGCCCTCACCACCTAAAATACCAAAGGCACGTCTCAGAAATGAAGACATTTCAAAATAACAAGCAGCCTTGAATTTTGTAGCAGGTAAAATATTTAAAATGTATTTTGTTGGGGGAAAAAAAATGTGCGTTCCCCCTGGTACTATGGCTACTGTATATGTTAGCACAAATTATTCCAAACGCCTAAATTTGGAAGGCGTGGGTGTGTGTGTGTGTGTGTGTGTGTGTGTGTGTGTGTGTGTGTGTGTCGAGGGGGACAAGCAGCCTCATCCAGGGGTCAGTCCAACAACAAAGAACAGTTTTCTAAGGGTCCAGAGTATCATTTCAAACAAGCACTCCTTGAATATGGGCCCTGGAGAATATGCAGCTGTTCATTTGACAACATAAACAGTAATTTTGAAAAGGGACTATGAAAGGATCTAGGAAAGGTGCTGTTTCAGCCAGGACTGCTACACCAAGAAGGGGATCCCCCCAAGTCAAGGTCCCCACTGCCCACCCCTCACTCTCTCCTTTCCACAACAAGAGTTCTCTGATGTCAACATTCTTTCACTTTTTTGTTTTGAATAGCACTCTCTCTGCCCTATCAACTGTTAAAACATCTTTAAAAAATACATGCAGATTATCATTCTTGAAATCATTTTCTTGTGAATAGCAGGAAATCACTCGGATCGATGCACAGCCAGATAAAGTGAGGCTTGGCCTCAGCTCTGCTTACTCTTTCTCCAAAATGACATATGAAGTACATTTTCTCTCTTCAATTCAATCCAAGATTAAAAAAAGATGCGGTTTCACTTGAAGTTGAAACCAACAGCTTAAACCCCACCCCGCCCCAATAAAACACCAGGAGGACTGTCATCGTGCAATGGCCTCAGACAGCAAGCGCACACCTTTGTACACAGAGGAACACCAAGGGTCTCCCGTCAATGAGGCAGCAACAACCAAGGGGTGTAATTCCACCTGTAAAGAACTGTCACTTCTCCACTCCCTTCAGAGTGTCCACGGGGCCTGTTCACATACTAGAGCCGAGAACAACAACCTCTGCTTGTGTCTTATCTACAAGGCCGGGAGTCAGTGTAAACATAGGGCTGATCCCTCAAGGAGGGAGTCCCCAGGAAGCCTGAAAACACTGTCACAGCACCCAGGAGCAAATCCCTGACCCAGACCCTGATTGGAACAAGACTCGTCTTTTCCCAAGGCCATGGTCTCTTTCCCTGTCTCTCCTTCCCCAGTTTCAGATTTCTTCTTAGCTCATGGTCACCTGGCTCAGCTGTGGGGTTTGGTGGGAGACATCTTTTGTGGTTTGAAACAAAACCCTCCAAAACTGGTTTCGCTAAGAGTTATTAATGGAGACAAGCAAACACACCTTGGCCACGTGCCCAGCACACCAAAAAAATCAAGGCCTGCCTCCAGTGTACATCACAGGGGGCGACCTAAAGGGTCTTCTTCTGCTTAAACAAAGTCGGTCGCAGCCACAAAGGGGATGGGGGAATTTCTTCTTTAATCAAACACACATATATATCTCTGAGACTTCAGTTATGGAATGATTCTCACAATAGTAAGAAGCAAAAGATCAAGCAAACCAGAAGAGAAAGTATTTATTTTGCCAGGCATGCACAGAGGTGCTGGCCACGCATCCCATCTGCCAGGGGTGTGGAGCAGCAAATGCACCCAGGATCCAAATGCACCCAGGGTCTGTGACTGAGCAGAACCCTCAACCTTCCTCTTCTAAGAGCACAAAGAACAGAAGCCTTTGCGGGGCCTGGAGCCATGGGGAGGAAGCTGCGTGACCTCTCCAGGGGACTACAGAGAAGAGCAGGGCAAAGGTAGCAGGGCCTCCCCTTCTCGACCTTGGTGCCCCTCCACCCCCCAGTACACGCCCAGACCCTGCCTGTGGCCCCACCTGAATGACTGACAAGCCTCAGCATGGCCACTGGGAGAGGGAGCAGAAACACGCAAATGGGCTGCTCATAACATAAACACCCTCAACTTCCAAGACACTCCAGCTAAAACACTCTCCCTGCCCACTCAATATACAAATAATATTTAAAAACAACAACAAAAGAAATTGAATGAGATGTTTTTCTCTCCCTCGTATTCAGTGTTACTCAAATCCCATTTCAGTTTGTGGGGAAAAGAACATTTTTTTTTTTTAAAGCCACAAATCTAGAAAACCAGTTTGGGGATTTTTTTTTTCTTTCCTTCTTTTTCCTTTTTTTCTTATATTTTTTTTTAAACAATAAGTATTTATAGAAAGAACTTCACAAAGGTGATTTATATACAGAAATCACAATTCCAAAGGCTGCTTCAGTAGTCAGTGAAATAGCACCTTTTCAAGATGAGAGCTTTTACATGGTTTAAAAATCTGAGTAGTTTTTGCTTTTGTAACGTAACGTTTAACCCTTCCTAGCCTAAGACAAGAGCCAGGCATCCATGTGCTCCGGGAATACAAGCTCTTCTAAAGCATCCAGGTGACATGCAATCTGAGAGTTACCATCGCTGCCTTTTCCTATTACCATCAGCAGTGTGTTCAGCAGAGTCGAGGTAGCCTGTGGCCAGACAAGTCTCTCAGATGGTCAAAATTAAATGTAGATGAAAGGAATTCACAGCAAGTTATTGCAGGGGGAGGGGGGGGGGGGAGGGGGGGAAGGGGGTCGTCCACTTGTTCCACAGTTGCCTGGGTGCTCTGCTGGGATAAAGGGGTTAGGGTGGGGTTGGGGGGTGGGGAAGGTCACGAGATGTTGGTTCTAAAATTGGGTTTGTACTAAAACATGTGGCTCTGGGCTCCAGGCTGGTATTGTGACTGCAGGAGGCTCTCCATGAAGGCCAGGTAATCAGGATTCTGTCCACAGTCCTCAGAATTTCGGGCATTGCCCACCCTCGGGCGCTTTGCTGCCTTCGCCTCCTCTCCTGAGGATACCTTCTCCTGTGGAGCACCCGTGCTGACAGACTGCAAAAACAGGAAATACGGCTCCGTTAGAGGGGAGGAGCTCAGGGAGAGCTGATGCCTTTAGCCGAGCAGCCAGCCATCTGAGGCATGACCACGGCCTGCTGGCCTTCAACTTAGACAAGTACAGGCTTGAGAGCTTTAGCAATCATCTCACTCCTTCCGTGGCAGCAGCAGGACTCAAACCCTGGTCCTCCTCAATTTCAGTGATCCTTGGCTCAAAATCCTCAGGCAGACCCTTCCCACAAACTTTCCTTTACCTTCTGCTTCCTGCTCAAAGAAAGCCCAAGGACTTTTTCCAACTTAGGGTAACTGGAGCAGCCTGTAGGGTAAAGACATTTCACAATACCCTGAGGATTTATGGCTGATGTTGGAAAAGACTGCATGAAACCTCTTGCCTGTCTTTTCATCTTGTATAACTAGTTACTTGTAAAACTAGAAATTAAGCAAAAAGCTTGGCTTTCCCCAAGTCCCAACAGAGACATTTTTTAAAAAGCAGTCAGTGCCTCTGTGTTACCCACCAGTCTAGATTTGACTCTCTTGGGCAGTTCCTCCTCCAGGGTGTAAATATCACCCCGCTTCACCATCAGCTGGGAACCATCTTCAAACTCCACCTACAATGGAAGCAGAAACAAAAAATTGGATGCTATGAGTCTCTATGCTCCATGAGGGGAGGCACCACATCTTAGCTAACCTTCATATCTCCTCCCAGAGCCCAACACAATGCTGTGTATGTAGCGTGGAGCTAACACTTACTGAATGAGTGAAAGAATGGTTGGTTCCTCAATTAGCCCAGAAACACTTTGGATCTTAGTTTGAATGTCTTGCCTTTAAGCAGAGAGGCCACCCTAGCCCCGGGTCACCCAGCAGAACAGTCCCTGGAGGGTGGCTACAGTCTGACACCTAGGTGAGGGAGCAGTTTATCTTCCCCATCTGGATTCTCAGAGTCTGGACTCCTGGGCTGCAGACAGATTCACTTTTCAGGACAACTCTGGACTGACCTTAATGGAAGCTACAGGGCAGAAGAGGTCCTTCTGGCTACCCTCAACATCTTCCTTTGAACTCATGTCACAGACTGAGTTTGGGAGGGGCTGGGGACAAGGTGACAAAACTCTGGGGTTAAAGCACTGATCACGGAGCCCCGAGTTCTGCTCTCAGTTGCCTGTGTGATCTTCTGAATCTCAGTCTTTCTATCTGTAAGATAACGGGACTGGACTAGCAGGAGCTCTGATGGCCCCTTCTAGCTTTAAATTGTATAAACCTATGACTTCTTATTCCCAACAAACCTTTGAAAAAGGATGACTGCCCCTCTGCCATCCTTACGTAGAGCTAATAAGGTGCTACCCTTTGACAAGTGGCCAGTCTGGGATGGTGCCGAGTTCTAGGACTATTTGATGGTTGTGATGACAGCTGCCAGGAGTCAGAGACGACGTTTGGCACTGAACTCCTTCAGCCCAGAGGGCACATTAGTGTCACTGTCCAGCCTAACGCTGTGTCCTCGGGACAGGGACATGAGAGTACTGCATGGGAAGCCATGCAGTGAGGACTCTGGCAAGTTGGAGCACATTTTCCACAGAAGCTGAAGAAAAAATAGGAAGGAGTGGAGACCCAAATGCATTCAAGGACTGGTTTAAGTAAATGGTTATGTTTAGCTGGAGAAGAGACACCATTCTTGACATAAAGATTTGTAATGGCAAGGCAGAGAGAGGCTTGTCATGGCAGAGGCAGGACTCAAGGTCACAAACACTCCTCCTTATTAGCTCTGCAGAGAGGCAACCAGTTTGGGGATGCTACAGTGACCCCAGGGAACAGGTTCAGAGGATACCTAGGACTCAGCAGTCTAGGTGAGTTCCTACTGATATTTTATAAAAACTGCTTGTCAGCTTGGGAGGACATCCTATCCCATCATACAAGTTTTTGGGGTAACTAGGCAGACGCCATCAAGTCAAAATCAAATACCTGAGCATGTGCTATATGGGAAGTTCTGGGCCAGTTAAAGAAAACAAGCTGTAATTACTAGGAGGCTGTACTGGGATTCCTACCACTGATCTAGAGACTGAAAGTATCTGAACTCGTGTCATGCGGGATCAAACATCACAGGACTAATGATCAGAAGAACAAGGTTCTTATCTCTGCTCTGCTATTGATTAAGGGTGACACTGGGCCAGTAACTTCTCTCTAGACCTTAGTTTTTCCCATTTGTAAGATGATGGGTTTACATCAGATGTTCTGTCAGAGTTAAAAGAGATTTTAGAGACTACAATTTTTAAATAAAATCTAATATTAACATTCAAAAAAACCTTAAAGTTGCCATTTTAAAATGAGGAAAGAAACAAATTTCTCTCCTGTGCTTCTCTCACTAGGTGATCACTCTCAGCTAGTCAGTAACTTCTCCCCTTTAAATGGAACATTTTCATTCAAATTAAACAATTTTAGTTACCAAAATATGTTTTTATTTTAGCAAATGGTGGAATAATCAGTCAGGTGTAAAGACCTGGGGTGTTAAATAGTTTCATGCTCCCAACTGCTTTCTCTGATCACTGATTAGAACATGAATTATGTATCTGGGAATAGAAAAGAGATGCTTGTTTCAAAAATAAAGAGTGGAAAGTAATTCTACCTCAAAGTCATCAGAGTCCTTCAATTTAGGAAGATGAGTTCTTCTAGATATTGCTTAGAGGACAGCGGGTTCTGTGTAACACAATGAACTCATGCTTCATGCATGCTAATGGCAATATGAAAATTATTAAGAATAAAAAGTAACTAGTATATGCCAGGTACTGTGCCAAGTGCTGAGAATACAAAGAAAGGCAAAAACCAAACAGTTCATGCTCTCAAAGAGCTCACAGTCTAGTGGAGAAGACAACATGCAGGTACGTGGCTCAGTGGATAGAGCACCAGGCCTGAAGTCAGGAAGACGAGTCTTCCTGAGTTCAAATCTGGCCTCAGACAAGTTACTAGCTGTGTGACCCAGGGTAAGTCACTTAACCCTGTTGGCCTCAGTTTCCTTATTTGTAAAATGAGCTGGAGAAGAAAATGTCAGAACACTCCAATATCTTTTGAAGAGTCAGGCACAATTGAAATGACTGAATAAAACTGTGCTGTAAGACATGACGTGTGTGGTGAATACAGAGAAGCATGGAAAGAGCTAGATGAATTGATGCAGAGCAAAGAGCCAAGAAAACAACATACACAGTAACTGCGACAATCTAAACGGAAAGAACCACCATAAACCAAAAAGTCAAAAGTCAATGTAATAAAATTATAAAGATCAAGCATGACTTGAATGAAGAGAGATGAAAAGACACTCTCCTCTGGGGAGATGGGGGGGAGGGGTCCCCCACAGATATGATACACGCTTTTGGACTTTGTCAATGTACTGACTGGCTGTGTCGATTTTTTTTCCTCTTTAAAAAACACTATTTGTTATATGGGATGGCTCACTGGGAATGGGAGGGGGAAGGATACTGGGGATGACTAGGAAGATGTGAGAAACAGAAGTAACTAATGTCAGCGACACCAGGGGTGAGTCGGGGTGAATCTGTACAAATTCCTAAGGGTAATGGGTACTATTTACCCTGAAACGAACTCTCCTCGAAGCTTTGCCCATTTGCTCTCCTTCAGGATCTAGCTCAAATGTAACCTTTTCTAGGAAACCTCCCCTCACCCTCCACAGACCTTTGCTCCTTCCCATCCCTCCCCCCACTGCCCTGCAGGAAGTCAGGTCTCCTCCAGTCTTCCAACCCAGAGCCACAGTGCCTTCTGCACCGCACTGGCACGTCCTGCCTGCCTTCCAGTTACCACTACGTATGGACCTGCCCTGCAGTCTCTGTGAGACTGTAAATGTCAAGAGGGGAGGAAGCAAGCACACTTTATTAACCTTTTTGTCTCTCAGAGTACATATCACCTACGTATAGCAAGTACTCAATAAATGTGTGGGTAACTGAACTGTTCCCCCCAAAACACAGGATGGCTCTATGTTCAGTTGTTGGGAGACATAAGCAATTTAGATAAGACCTACTACTTCTCCTCATGGAGCTCCTAACAGGAGATAAAACAGAATCAGAAGTAGCTGTAAGACAAAGTATTATATGACAAGCACACTTGTTAGTATCTGGAGAGTGTATAAGCATGGAAGGACTCACATAGGAAGTAGTTTAGTTGGACTTAAAAGGATGGGTAGGAATCAGCAGGTAAAGTAGGGTAAACAGTACATTCTAGGCCCAGAAAATAAGAAAGAAATGTACAGGGGACATTCTAGGACAGAAAGAAGTCTAGATCAGCTTGAATACATTACAGAAATTATTGGGAAAGAAATCTGAAATATAACAAACATCTAGAAGTACTACTTTCTGAACTGTCACCAAACTATAACGAATCCACTATCAGTGACAAAACAACAAAGGAAGGAAAGAATAACTTAGTGTGGTCTGCTCTAACTTCAGGACCTTTAAAATGATAGCGGCCAAGCGCTGTTTCAACTGTGCATCATTCTGAACGGGGGTGCACGGGCTGGAGGGATTCCTATGGTACCAGGCCACTAAGCAGTCTCCGGGAGTGCCAGCCTACTGCTGTTTCCGCCTCTCCTCGGAATACACTGACCCCAACTGGAATTCATCAATTACACAAGTTTATGTCACTCACTGGCCTCACTCTTAACCAAGGAAAGGTATATCATATGATATAGAATGTCAGAGCTAGAGAGTTCTTAGAGATTATCTAGTCAAAGCCTATTAGTTTAATGACATGAAATGTAGAAAGGGGCAGTAATCTGCCTAAGGTCACACAACTAAGTGACGGCTGGGCTAGAACTCAGGCCATGCCTTCTTGTACTCCCAAGTCAGTGTTCTTCCCATAGTACTATGCATCCTCCAACTATCAAAACTGGTCTGGGCTAGTCATGATACTTCATCTCCTCTCCCCCCACCTACAAAGGCATGAAATCCCTACATTCTCTCCTGGATACCAAAAACACAGGGTTATCATCTGGTAACTCACCGTGGAAAGGTTACTCATGCCAGTTTAATTGCTGAATACTAGGATTCTTAAAATGATAGCGTGAATGAAGCAGCTGACTATGGCCAAACAGAGGGCTGGTAGTATTTCTCTGATGCGTTCCTAAAGTGCCTTACAAAGTCGTACTGGGAGTTTATCACAGAGGACAATTTTGCTTGAATGATATTAAGAGCTGGGAAAGATCTTAGAAGTCATCAAGTCCAAATCCTTCATTGTATAGATGTGGAAACTGGAGCCCAGGGAGGGAAGGGTCACAAAGTGAACCCAGGCCTTCTGACTCCAAATGTAGGCTCCTTCTACTCTACTCAAAGAGGTAAAGGCTATAAACAGTACAAAAAAACCAAAAACAGTACAACCAGGCTTCCCTTGAGCTTTGGTGGAGTACTTATGAGTTATAGCCCACAAATGAGGAACTGTCACCTGGGAGAACTTGTGTATTTAGTACATCTTTAGAGAGGACCTGATGGATGATAAAGTGCTTCCTTCACAATGATATTGGAAAACAAACAGTATCTTATTCCCATACTACGGGCAGGAAACAAAAGCTCTGAGAGGTGCCCTGCCTATGGGTGCAGAGATAACCCTTCTGGCTGCGGCA